ATCATATTATAATATATAATATATAATATATTACAATCTTATCCAGAAATCTTAACATTTAATAGATTCTAAATTTTCTCATTTTCTAAAAAATATAAAAAAAATTTTTCCGAAGATCTTAATGTAATTATATAAAGAAGAATATCAATATGCGATTATAAAATTTTAAAATCGATCGAATTTTTGAAATTTTTTTCGAATCTATTTATCTATTTATCAATTTCCTTAGAAATTTTGTTTCGCGAATCCCTTCACGTGTAGGTGTTGATCTTTGTAAGTTAGTGCGTTCTTCTATTGTGAGAGGCATTCTATGCGGGTCGCAGGTTACATACCCACGTTTAGAAAGTAACCAGTTGCCGCTTCTTTCCCTTCTTTTGTAGCACCACGATCAGTCGATCTGACCGACCAACGGCCTCTTACGGTTTCTCACTGATGCTGCTCTATTTCATAATTCTCAGTTAGTTTGATACTCTTATTCTTTTTAATATTTTTTTCTCCTTTATGCAATCTCCATCTTTATTCAATTGTTTTTACAATTAATGATTATTCGTGTTTCCGTGGAATTTCTTCACACAACTAGCAAATGAATTTGATTTTGAAACACAAGGAAATATGAATTCTCTCGATATGAACTGTCTTGATACCTTTCGTTTACGATGGATTATGTAAGTTCATATCAAATCGAAAATTCATTTGAATTTAACTTTTTGAATTTATAAAATGAATTTTAATGAAAATGAAAATTTATTTACAAAATAACAGTATAAAAACATTATATATATTGTTTATTTATTACAATAATAATATAGTATAAAAATTATAATTTTAAGAAAAATTAATTTTTGTTTAATTAATAAACATATAAGGATATATGTAAATACAAATACAACTCATAAAATCATTCATGTATTATATTATAAAGAATCATATACAATGAAATTAACTCGATAATTCTAATTTTAAAATGAAAGTATGTACATATAAAATATAATGAGTTACCTATAATAAATTATATTGTAGATAATCTTTTTTATTCATCAGAAACCTGAGAGAGTGAAATCAATCTTTGAAATTTTAGTATTTTTTTGTATTTTAAATACAATTTTGTCTCGAAATTTTATTCACAAAAATAAAGCATTAAAAATTAAATATTCTTATATAAAAAATTTCATTCTATCTCGCACTACTACAAAGTTAAAAAAAATTTACAAAAATAATAAAGAGTTAAAAAATTTCAGTATTAATTTTTATTTCAATCTTTATCAAAAGAAATATTTTTAGAGAAAAGATTCATGTATATTATTATGCATTTAAACTTTCATTAAAATCAGAATTATTATATATTATATAATATTATATATCAGATAATCTCTTATAAAATATGATTTTATGATTCAATAAATTATAATTATATTCATGTCATATAATATATTTCATAAAATTAAAAGCTTTTAAAGCTCATTTATACAATTTCATTTGTAAAAAGTATAAAAGTTTCTCTGTATCAATAATTTAAAATATATATTGAAATAATAATTCATTAAAAAAAAAAGAGTACTTATTTAAGATAAATAATTTTTTTACATATAGAAGATATTAGACAAAGATAATTAAATAAAATAGCAAATATTATTTTTTATTCTTTTTTAATATATGCCGATTTTCTTCATTATACTATATAAACATAGTTTAATTTTTAAATAATTACTAATAATAAATGATATAATAGAAAATTAGAACGAAATCACAATTATGCCAGAATCTTATAACATGTATTTTGACATCATAAATTAGTGAATAGAAATTTAAATATTTTAAATATTTATTTAAATATTTGCTATTAAAAAGATTATTATTACTATTTTAAAATATTATTTTTTTGATATAAAAAATAAAAAAGTTATATTTATTTTCTAATATCATTTTACCTCATTTTTTTTACGTTGATCTCTCTTACTATTGTTTTATATTTTTTCAAATATAAAATAGAATTAAAAAATCAATACAAAATTTATAAATTTTTTATTGATATTAAAATTTTAAATATAATTGTTTTCATTGTCTTTGTTTTATTTGTGATATATTATAAATATTCATTAATTTTTTTAAAAATTAAAAGTTTTTATCTGATATCATGAATAGTATTCATTTATATCCTTTCTTATTATTATTTTTGTCTTAAAAATAATTAATGGATATATTTTAATATAAAAACTTGTAAGATTGATCAAATCAAAATAAATAATCAATCTTTGTTTTTGCAATTTTTAAGAAATGAGTGAGGATTGTTTAAAAAATAATTTTATTTTTTAAAATAAAACTTATCAATATTTTTAATGATTATAAGGTCCTTAAAATTTTTAATTTTGTTTAAACAAAAAAATTCATAAATTATCAAGATATTATAGATAATTTGTCTCTCTATTTTAATTATCCTTTCCTTAACGAGAATTCTGGTATGTGTGTGTGTGTGTGTGTGTGTTGTGTGTGTGTGTAATAAAGTATTATATATATTTAAACACCAAGTTCGACTATTTTAATTAAATTGCATACAATTTCCAATTATTTCACTAATTTTTATTATTTCACTTCATTTTCTTATTTTAATTTATTTTAATTATTACTATAATTATTAAGAATTTAATGAGACTAATTAAATGATCAATATTCTTATCTTTTGCGAAAGTTACAATTCTATAATTAAAACTTAAATAATTAAAATAATAAATGAAATGCTATATATACGATTATTTATATGTGTACTTAAAAAGTTTAGATAATTATATATATAATATAGCATTTATGATATATGATGAAAATTTATTATAATAATCTTTATCACTTACAAAAATTAATGTAGTAAATACTAGGCGTAATAATTATTGATTCTAAATATAGTTTTTAAAAGAATATTTATGAATTTTAAATTGCAATAACAAACATAAAAATAATTTTAGATATAAAGTTTAAAGAATAAATTTAAAAAAATTTTAAATATTAATAATAATATTTAGCCTGATACAATATTTGTCTCAAAGTAAACAATTTATAAATTATAATTAATTTCGATTATAATTACAATAATTTAATTATTGTAAATTATAATTACAATTATTTAGATATTATTGAAAAATATTTTGTATCAAATTATATATAAATTTTTTTTCTAATTATAAAATAATTATAAAATAATTTTTTTACTTTGACATATAATAGATATTTTATTTTTATTTTTATTAAATATCATTGCATATCTTAAATTAAAAAATAATATTTATATTAAATTTTTCACTTTTATTTTTAATATAAAATGAAATAAATTTGCAGACTTTATATGCAAAACATTCAGAATATTCTCTATAAAACAAATGTACTTATGTCCATTCGTACAATTTATTCCCTGTGATTTTTCTTCATAATCACATAAAAATTTTTTGTAAGAAAATTTTCTTGTATTCATTCAGTCTTTATATTAAATATATACATATATATTATATATTATAGATAAATAGAAATATAAAATGAATAAAATTATTTAAAATTATGAATTATTGAATAATATTTAATGTAAAAAAACAAATGTAATGCAAAAAAATTAGTGAATATAATTATTTTATATTTTTTCTAATTAAGAACAATTAAAGAATAATTGCAATAAAAATTATCAAAAATTCTAAAAATAATGAAGAACATCAGTAGATTTACTAGTAATACATGTCTATTTTTATTAAGTGTAGTTTGTTAGTAGTTAATTAAGTTTAGTATTAAAATAAAATAATATATGAAAAAATATTATGTAAGTAAAAAAATTAAAGAAGAATTTGTAATAAAGTTTAACAATTACGAAGTTTCGAATATAACTTATATAAAAGAAAAAATTTGATATTACTTTATTATTATACTTAGATGATTATTAGTATATGATTAGAATATAAATGTAAATATATATATATATATTTGTAATTTATTTACTACGTACGAATTACTGTTTCAAAATTTCATTAAATTGTAATTTCTTCTTTGATCTTTTTATTTATACAATATTATATACATATATATATATTTTTTTATTCTTATTCAAATAAATTTGAAGCTAGTGATTTTTCATTAAAAAATGGATCGAAAAAAAAAATATAATTCACTTTTTATTAGATAAATAGAATGGCCAGAATTATACGTACCAAGAATTTTTTAAAAAACCATATTATATTTGAGAACTTGTGCTGCAATTCTAATTATTATGAATTTAAAAAAAATCATAAATATTACTCAAATATGCATAAATATATTTTAATCTTAATTTGTTAAAAATTATAGTTTTTTATAAAAAATTTTTCTAAAAGAAGTATATTATGCGGATATTTTTTTTAATCTTGTATCAATATCTAAAAATTTTCAACATTATTTAATTTCCGATTTTAATAATATTCTGTTAATAATATACTAAACTTAGGATGAAAATCTATAATATATGTCTATATATTATCTATAATCTAAAATATATAGATGTTTATGTGAAAAAATAATAATCCAGCAGAATTTAAAAAAAAAATTTGAAGTAGTGCTTTTCATGAAAATATACAAGATATAAATATATTTAATTAATTATGAAATATCTTTAGAAGCTCAATACTAGAGACTAATATAAACGCAAAAATTGATATACAAAAATAATTAAGACTTATTTATTAAGTTATAAGCAATTAAAATTTACATTTGATAAATATAGAACGAGATTATTTTATTTTTGTTATACTATCGATATATTCTATTTCTGTCTTATTTCATTTAATGTAAACTTAAATTACTTATAAATTTAATAAGTAAATTTAAATCAAATTTTTTATATATTCAAAAAATTTTGTTGTATTTGTTTTGGCTTCTAAAATCAATTTTCGTTCCAAAAGTATTCTACAAATATATTAATATCCTATAAGCAGAATAAATTATTTAAATAACTATTTCAATAATATGAAGAAAAAAAAATATTAATTTCTTACCGATCATAAGGAGTGCAACAGCAATGTGATCGCGACCAGAAGCCCTGAGGGCTCCTAACAGGGCACCAGCACCCGCACACACTAGACCTACTACGCCGACACCCAGGATGGACCAGCGCACAGGAGGGGAGCCGAGGCCACAACATTGCTTCGGTACAGCATCCCTGCAAGACAAGAACCAACCGTTGGAATGACCCACTGACACGTACTCTCGATAAGTTGGCAAGTCGCTCAACATGCTTATCCAATACTTAACTACTGTCGTGCAACCAGCTATAGTCATGTGAAGAAAGCGGGTATATTTTTTTATTATCTTTTTATTACTATATGTATTCTTATATACTACATGCAATTATTCTATGATTAAATATAGATAATTATTTCTAATATTTTGAAATTGATAGTAAATATAGATACATAATTCTTATATAATATAAAAATGATGTTATAAAAACATTTGGAAATTACACATAATATACAAAGTATTAATATATTCGTAGGACATCTATGAAAGATTAATTTTAGAAATCATTTAATTATATAATTATATTTATTTAATATAAATTACTTTTATCTAATTTTATTTTAAGGCAATTATAAATCAAAGATGAATATACTGACTAAAATTAAAAAACTAATCATTCTAAGTTTTTAATACTTTTTATCTTTACTTGATTTTTATGTAAGTATATTTGAAGAAAATTTATTGCTTATTGATAGAGTATATATGTATACTCCCTATGTTATTTTTGGTTCCAATACCATTATTTTTTCTCGAATTTTATATTTAACTTATTGTTATTTATTCTTTTTTTTTATATATTGGCAAATAAAATATTTATATTTAATATAGTATAATCAATTGTGAGAATATAAGTTGTACAAATTACGTAGCTTTTGCAACTAATATAAGTTTTGATTTCGTTTCCAATTTAAAAAATTAAAATAATAAAAATTACAAACAAAAGACAGTGAAAGCAATGGATTGTAGAATTTAATTTTTTTTTTAAGTTAAAAGTTTTATAATTATTTATATTCTTCTCTTTTATAAATAATTTATATGATTATTTTTCTTTTTACTTAAAATCTTATTCATCGGAAATCAAAAATATTTATAAAAAATTTTTAAAGTTATTAAATATAAACAATCGTCCGTAATGAAATTTTATATAAAATATTATGAATAATTTATGACAGGACATTATCGAAAAATCAGAGATCAAAATAAATATAAAAAGTTGATATAATAAAATAAATAATATATATATAATATATATATAAAATATATATATATATAAAAATTGGTTGAGATTTTATTATATATAATAAAAATTGTTATTAAGTTATAAATAATTTAAATACACGATAGATGATACAAAGTAAGCATAGACAGTGATTCATCAAAGATAGTTATCTTATTTTTTTTTTCATTCTTGTTTTGTTTAATGCAAATTTCAATAACTTATAATTTAATAAATAAATTTAATAGACATTTTTATATTCATTTTGGCTTCGATTATAATATTTGATATATATTTGATACATAATATTTAATATATAATATTTGATATCTGATTTTATCTTCAATAGTTTTTGATTTTATTTATGTATATTGATTTTAATTATGATGTATTTTAACTATATACTGTACTTATAATTCATTTTCTTCAAAACCAATAGTTTTTGAAAAAAATTAATATTAAAAAAATTGCAATTTTTCAACTTTGTTTTGTGCTTTTGACACAAATGATAGTTATTACCTTTGACAAGAAATAAATATATGGACTTTTCTAAATAGTTATTGAATTATAAATATCATAATTTTATTAAATAAAAATCAAATTTAAAAGCTTATAACATATTCATTCTTGCTGATTCATATAATTGTTTTAAATTTATTTTAAGAAATAAAAATCTAAAAGAAAATTTAATAAAAAAAACATATTATGGAAATAAGAGAAACATCAAGAGAAGCTACAATTTTATTTTTGTTTTCAATATAATAAATATTAAAATAATATATAAATAAAAATGAGATAATTTTGTAAAATGTATGATAATCGCTTCGTCATAAATTCTAATGCATTAATACTGCAAGCAAGCGATCACATCTCTTAGTATTACTATTATCTGATTGATAACCATATGTTTTACCAAACTATTTCTTTAATCCTACAAATCAATATCATCAGAATTGATATCTGATTGTTCACGATTTTTTAATCACATATTACTATTATTTTTTTTAATATTATTATCGATTAATATAAATTGCGATACAAATTCTCAAGTATTATGTAATTCTGATATTTTTGATATTTATAATTTTTTATAATAATATTTAATTTGATATTTATATAGTTTTATATAGTTTTGAGTACACAAAAATTTTCAATCATTCCAAAATTTCGCATTTGATAATATTTTCTTTTATTTCATTATGATATTATAACTAATATATAATAATATAGGAAATGGAATATAAAGTCGAGAATAATATATACAATATATATTATGTATATGCATTAAGAAAATGATAAAAAAGTATTGTATTTTAGTAATGCTAAAAATAGAATTTAGTTATTTTTATTTTTTTCTGTATAATCATATTTTTACAAATGCGATCAAGTTTCAAATGATTACCATCATAATATTAAAAAATATAACTTTTAACTTCTAACTTCTAAATACATTTGCATTGGTATAGACTTTAGATTTCTATTTTATCATTATAGTTGAAAAATTGTATTATTAAATTATAGATTTTACTTTAACTTCTTTTATACATAGTAAAAAAATAATTTTATACGATAAATGAAATGACATTTACATAGATTTTTTTCATTATTTTTTGGTATTTTTCAAACATTGAAACATTTTGAAACATTGAAATTTTGTATTATTATATAAATTTATTTTCCTGTATATATAATAATAATTTATTTATAATTTATTCCGTTAACAAAAATTAAATAAAATAATTAATAAGATTTCAATTAACTAACTTAAACAAATATAGATATCGAGATTTATGTTTATATTGATATCTATTAAATAATTGACATCCAGGAAGAAATAATTAAGAATGTACTAATTTTATATTTTATAAATTGCTTTCTTTTATAACTTATTTTTATATTTTGAACATTCATTTCTAATTAAATTTAATGTATCAACAATAGATAATGATATATTTAATAATTATTAATTTCAAAAAATGAAGAAATATTTATGCAAAAGAACTAATGTTAAAAATAAAAAGGAATATAAAATTAATGTTAATAAACAGGAATACGCCAAATAAACGAGATTCTAGATAATCAAATATCTCATTTATTTTAATATAAAATTTATTTCTTAGAAATAAATTTTATTTGAAGATTTGATTTTTCAAATCAAGCTTATCTAATTAGAAAAACAGATATATAAATATATGTAATTTAAAAATTATACACATATTTTAGTTTTTATAAATTATTATTAACTAAATTTGTTTTTTTTTTAAATTTTCTTTTCATATTTTAACTGATTTAATATCTGTTTAAACATATGATTCGTTTTTGATAAAAATAATTTCAAATTTGAACTTTTTTTCATTTTATGTATAATAATATTATTAATAATTTTTAACTAAAATAATACATAGTATTATACAAGTAATATTATACAAAAGAATTTTGTATAAATTTTTTAATTTCTGAAAACATCTATCTTGTTATTAATCATGATAATCTTAAATATAATGTTATTAATTAAGTTGCCAAGTAAAAATTTCTGACATGATTAATGATATTATATATATGTTAAATTTCTATAATTATAATTTTATTGATGAATTCAAATTGTTTATTGATAATCAAGTTGTCAATAAGAAAAATATTTAGAGAATTTAATGAATTTGTATAATATATTTAGATAAAAATGGAATACAAAAACAATCGTAGTATGACGATGCTTTTTTTTAATTAATTCTTAGCGACAATATGGAAATTCTTTTTAGAAATTATTTTTAAATTAATCAAAAGTATCATATAATATAATTAAAATATTAATCTGCAATGTAATTGAATGAATATATCTCATAAAAAAACTTGATATTTTATAACGATCTTAAAAAAAAGATTTAAGATAATACATAAATAATATATAAAGACATCTCAATAATATATAAATCTCTTTTTTAATTTTCAATCAATTCAGTTTAATTAATAATTTATTATTTACAAGTATTATAATATTTCTTATTTATAATTATATAATCAGAAGAATTCGGACTTCAAAATACTTCTGAATATAATATAAAATTTTTAATTTTGAAATGTTAATTCAACGAACTCACTTTACTGATAATAAATATATTTTTATTATTTAATAATAAGTACTAAATAATAAGTACTAAATAAATACTAAATAATATAACTTTATAATATAAACTTCACATAATGGACTTCAAACAACATATGTATTAGTGCAAATGTGTGCAAATAAATTCTTTCTCCTTTTTTTTCAAATTCAAGATTTTATTAAAATAAATCAGGTACAAGATTACGTCTCAAAATATTCACCTTCATTCTTTATAACCTTTTCCCACCTGATAGATAAATTATAAATTATAAATTACATCCCTCAAGAATGACTTGTTTATGAAATCATCAATACATTTTCGGATATCTTTTTCCGAGTTGAAGTGCTTCTCTGACAATTGGTGTTATAGACTACGAGAAAGATGATAGTCTGACGAGATCAGATCTGGAGAGAGTATCGCATGTGACGAGGATTTCTCACTCTAATGCATAAATTGTGCCCCGTTCCTTTTCGGCAATGTGACCGAGCATTATTGTGCTGCAAAATAACTCGTGTCTTGTTTCTTGTCCTCTAAACGGCCATTTCTGTTCTAACTGGTCGTATTCATTAATTAATTTTAATAATATTTAGTTATTGTCCTTCTAAATAAAAGCAGTTCATAATGAATGATTCCTCGAAAATCCTCGGAAAACTGCATAGATAATAAAAACTTTTTTGCAATGCGAGTTTAATTTTGCCACTGAAATCAACGGTTCCCTGGGATTAACTCATGATTTCCGTTATTTGGAATTGTCATGTAAGACCTATTTTTCATCGCCAATAACAATTTTATGCAGAAAACTTTTCTTTTTATACTGTG